TATGCTATTTGTGGCTATCGTGAAAAGTGAAGTTTCTCTGATTTTCCTCTCTGCTTCTCTATCCTTTGTGTATAGGAGGGTTACTGATTTTTTTGAGTTGATCTTGTAAACTGCCACTTCAATGAAGGTGTTTACAGCGGGAGGAGTTCTTTGGTAGAGGTTTGGGGGTCACTAATGTACACTATCATATCATCTGCAAATAACGAAAGTTTGACTTCATCCTTTCCAATTCGAATCCCCTTGATCGCCATATGTTGTCTTATTGTTATTGCTAGAACTTCAAGCACTATGTTGAAGAGATATGGAGAGAGTGGGCAGCCTTGTCTTGTTCTTGATTTTAGTGGAATGGCTTTGAGTTTCTCTTCATTTAATTTGATATTAGCTGTTGGTTTGCTGTATATTGCTTTTATTATATTTAGATATGATAAATGTTTCCCTAACTTCTCCAAGACCTTTATCATAAAGGGGTATTAAATTTTGTCAAATGCTTCTTCAGAATCTAATGAAATGATCATTTGGTTTTGTTCTTTCAGTTTATTTATATGATGGATTACATTGATAGATTTTGTATGTTGAACCAGCATTCCATAAAGCAAAAGAAACAACAAAAATAAAAACTGTTAGAGAAATTCCACTTTCATATGAATAAACCTCTAATCTTATCTCTTTTTCTTGCTTACATGTGTGTATTAATGATTACAATATAAAATTATATTCTTATAGAAATATCAACAATCTTGGCTATATGTAATTGACAAAGTAGAAAATGTGTTTTAAAAGTAAGCTCTTGGTGTATTTGTTTTCCACCATGTGTTGTTTTTTTACTATATTTTTAATACAAAAATCATTGGTTTTTGGAAATAAAACATAGAAAAATAAGAAAGAAAATATAACCTCCTTTGTTATTTTGTTTTATATGCTGCTAATTACATAAAATACTATTGATGACCAATTAAGAATTATATGTAAACATAGACTCATTAATTTACATATAGAATACAAAGTCATTTCTAAATTGTCAACCTCAAATATCTCTAAAAATGTAAGAACTTAATTTTTGAAAATATTTTAATTAATAAGATAATTTAATACTAACACTAACAGAACAAATAGTCTGCTTTTAAGGGCAAAAATGCTATTTTCTTAAAATTTATAATTAAGTGGTTTGTTAGAATGAGTATGTGAAAATTTTTCAATCTCCTTAAATGATGGCACAGCTAATAGTTACAATAGAGTAAGTGCAGCAGTGGTTCGCTTTAAAAAAAATCATATAGAGGTATTTAATTCCAAGGTCTCCTATATTAGAATTTTAAATATTAGATAAAATATTCTTACTGATTATTTTCGCAGGTGAATTGTTTTTAAAGTATAAACATGCTGCTTCTGCAGGGCCATTTAGTCCTTCTTGGTCTGAATTTTCTGTGAGAATTCAAACTCATATTTGATATGAAATAGAGAATGAGACTGACACATCATGCTGGAAACAAAGATGAAACTTATTCAGTCTTATCACTCATAATAGACAAAGCAAAAAAGATTTCAGTCTTTTGTAAAAGCACATTTAATGTATTTGGATAAAGTCCAACAGAACAAACACAATTTTTCCCTTTTAGAGAAGGTGGCTGATGAAGCAACTATACTGGGAAATTTACGTGGCTCTTACTTTTGCTCAAATATTTGAATAGCTTAATTCACTAAGCCATGTTGTATATAAATAGTATTAGTTGTGATATGTACCATATCTACACTAAAAGCCTAAAAATGAATGAAAATAGTAAGTTTTACAATTTTAGAATGCTTTTGGTTAAATGATAGGGCAACAAAACAACTAACTTGATGTCTGTCTTTATTAAGCTTTCAATATTCGCATCTCTAAGAAAATTACATCCAGAAGGCAAGGGCTTTTAGAATCTCATTTAAATTACCTTCAGAAGATATTTATACCAAAAAGTTTCTTTTCATCCCAAATTTTCTTAATTTGATGATTAAAAGAGAAGAAACAGAATTTAAAGGTGATTAGTTCATTAGTTCATTAGTTTCTTATGGTAATTTGATCATTTTGAAACCCTAGCCTAGCTCTTCTGTCTTTTGTGTGAAAAGCGATCCATGTTTGGCATTCTCCTATCCTGGTGTTCACATTCCACTCTGTATATTTTTTTGTTTAGTTAGAAATACTGAAGTCTGAAGGATAGTCTACAAATATGCTTTGGGTTTTCTGGCTTACTCTTAATCCCTTATCTTACTTGTTAAACCAAGTATGCTATTTATCATTGATTTCCTGGGGCAATGTGACCAATAAGCTTTCCCAGGGGCTTCTTATGGATATACTATTCCCTCCACAAGTGCTAAGTTTAATTGAACACAAACAGTCTGAATACTATCAACAATCCTTTTTAGCCATGCAAACTGCATGCAGTATGATTTAAACTGCTTTCTAAATTGTATCTATTTAAGTGCATTATTCCCTGGAGACTTCATTTTCTTCCCAAGGAGAATTTGTGTTTTGGTTCCTCCATTACATTTATAGATAAGACACCATTTAGTTAACCAAGTGAGTATTACATCTCCTTTAGTGAATTGGCCTCTCCAATTGATCTACTCTGTACCTAATGCTGTGAAATAAAATGACAATGCACAGGAAAAAATTGTTATAGGAGAAATTTTTCAGTAGTTTCATGGACTTTTTTGTTCCCATTGCAATATTAAAATAACACTTAGACATTTTGTCATTTAACAAAATGTTTATAAAGCCATATCAAACATTCTAAAAGAAGTGTACAATACAAAATAAAAGTGGTTGAATATCTACCCTGAAGAACTGTAGTTTATTGATCTCATTAAAAGTCTTCCCTTCAATGTTGACTTCTATAAAAATAACCACATGCTAAATGAATCATGATATATGAAATAGCTTTGTAGCTTAACATATGCCTGCCAGTGGTATTATTAAAGTATTCTCTACAGAGCAGCTTTTTCTCATGAGCTTCAAACCCTCACTAAGTCACTCATTCACCTTGTGTGTATCATAAGTGACATGTAGATTTTTAAGCACTATAACAGCATTATTAAAAACAAAAATAGCTAAATAAATGAATCCCACTTCTGTGACAGAGACCAAGTAATTAAAACTGCAATTTGAGCTAAGCTTGTTTTGGCATACTCATTTAGTAGCCCTTAATGTCATAATTATAATGAGCTGTGACTGCAAATCTTATATTATATTTCAGAAAATCATTGGCCTTTATTAGAATGTTTTTCCTCCTCATGATAATTGAGTTATTTTGACAGCCCAGAAGAGAGACTAGAATAGAAGGGTAATAGTTATCTAAGATAGACATCTCTTTCTAATAATTTTTCTGCAAGGACAGTGGGAGGAATAAATATTGAATGGGTAGTAGTGACAACAGAAATCTTTGTTTTATAGTATTTGATCAGTTTTGCTTTATTTTAAATAGTGAGAGAAAATAATTTATGTTATTGTCATAGAAATGTATTAAGAAAGATGGAAATGATAATAGGAAAAGAAAATAGAGATTAAGTAGGTACAATAACCTTAGAAATTGAAAGAAATGAATGTTTTATATTGCACCGTGGATAAAAGATTCTTTGGCGTAGTATTCCTCTCTGTGTGTTGTGAATAACATTGGTTAATAAAGACACTGTATTAATACAACTGATGTGTCAATGTGGTCTACTAAATGTACATAAAATCTGAAAGGGCTTAGAAAGAAATTATAGACACTGAAAAACAAAAGTTTAGCCACATTTATTGTCCTGAATGAACTTTGCTTGCTGGCAGCATGCTATGGCTCATTTAAGAAAAGTTTATCCTGGAAACAACCTGAATGCCCCTCAACTTCAGAATGGCTAAGGAAAACATGGTACATTTACATAATGGAGTACTACACAGCAGAAAAAATAATGACATCTTGAATTTTGCAGGAAAATGGATGGAGCTAGTAAACATCATTCTGAGTGAAGTAACCCAGACCCAGAAAGACAATTATTATGTGTACTCATTCATAATTGGTTTTTAAGCATAAAACAAAGAAAACCAGCCCACATATCACAATCCCAGAGAACTTGGGCAACAATAAGAACTCTAAGAAATATATAAATATATCTAATCTACATGCATAGTAGAAAAAGACAAGATATCCTGAGTAAAATGGGAGCATGGGGAGTTTGGGAGAGGGCTGAAGGGGAACGGAGAGGCAGGGAGGGGAGCATAGAAAAATGTAGAGTGCAATACAAATTAATAAAAAAAAGAAAGGTTTTCCTGACTCAGCAATAGCAGAAAAAAAATCCATGCTGCTTAGAAAAGCATACTTTCTGCTTCATGCTGCCAGAGAGACCTCTGGCTCTTTCAGAAGGTCAAGCTTTTAAGTGAGATTTTTGAATTTGGTTAATGGTAACCTAGACCAGCTGTGTGCATAAAAATGGTTCTCAGAAGCTATAAACATACCTCAACCATGTTAGGCTGTTCAGGGTAAGCTGGAAGTACCATATTTCCCCTAGCAATGGCACTGCTTAAATTCATAGAAGGGCTTAGCATTTTAAGAAGCCCCTCTGGTCAGAAAATAATTACAGATGCACAATAAAGACAGATTCAGATAAAAAAGACTTATAAATGGGCCACAGTGTTAGATAAAGGTACATAGGCTTGGGAGAGAGAATAAAAAGAATATAGACAGTTATAAAAAAAGTAAATGTTTTTTTATTGAATGGTAATTTTTTTAAAGAGACAGAGTACAGAGTACAGATAGTAATAGATTAAAATGAGTAAAAAATAATAAGCCACTTTAAGCTGAAATGTACACAGAGAATCTGGATTGTATATACTATTGTGTTTTCTTTGAATTTTTTGACTGCAGATAGACATTTGATTCTGGGGACTGCTAAGCTAAACCAACATATATGTTTTAAAGGTTTCTTGATGTCAATGTTTGAGTCTATGGATATATTGCTTTGGAAAAGAGAGTCTTCTTTTGTTTTCACAGAGGATGAGCACCTCAGGATTCATTCCAGGCTAATGTGGTTTGATGCACCAAGGGCCCCGAAAAAGTCACCTTGAACATTCCTCGAAAAATTTCTTTGCCCAATAAACAACAGGAAGCAGTTTGGAGAAAAACTATGCAAATATTCCCAAATATTTTTATAAATGTTTCTTTACATTCAAAAGGGAATATGATATCGAGATTTGCATTGTTATGGATCTTGTTCTATTGATACAACTCTAAGGTCAGTTTTGTTATATGTATTACTGCTCTTGATTAAGGTATTGTGTTTGTTCAGCTCATTTAAAATGTAATGTATACTTAAGAAATATGGGTTAGTAGAGAGTCATCTATAATAGTCAAGCTTGTAGTCATGTAATTCAGATTTTCTATATGTGCAGAGATGTATTTCAGATGGATAGACATTCTTCAAACCTTTAAAAGAATATGGCATTTAAAATGTTTTTAAAAATTAGGGCTTTTCATGACAGTGAGACACATTGGTTACTGGCAGCGCCAATTATTTAAAGAGGAAGATGGGCATTGAAGAGGCTCCTCATGGAGTTTGTTAGCTATTTGGGCAAGAAACTTCTCTTACCTGGGCTGCCTGATGAACTGGACATGCAGGACCCACAGAGAAATGACCATTGAACTTGCCTAAAGGTGAGACAGTCCTTTGGGGTTCCTGCTTCATTAAAGTCTGCTAGACATCCTGCAGAACACAGAATGAAGTGATTGACAAACAGCCAATATAGGCAGAACTGTCATTGCCTTTTCCTGCTTTGTGGAATAGTCTGCTATACATTATGACCTTTAGGTTGAAGATGGATGCTCCAACATTACAGAAGATCTTTGGGTGACTGTCCAGGCAGCAAGATGTCTCTGTCATTTCTAGAGCTTTGGAAGTTGCTTAATATGCACTTCCTATTTACTTAGGTAATATTATATACTTTTGTAATCTTTGGCAGACTTGAAGAATATATATTTATAGTTTTTCTTAGCTATGTTAAAGTTAATATATAGTTTTTCACTTAAACAGGAAAGGGGAGGTGATGTGAGATTTGCCTCTGTGTGCTGTGAATACCATTCATTAATAAGGAAACTTGTTTGACCTGATATGGTAGAATAGTGCTAGGAATGAAAAACAAAACTGAATACTGGGAGAAAGAAGGGTGGAGTCAGAGAGGGAAGCCATGTATCCCCTCTGGAGACAGATGCTGGAACTCTACTGAGTAAGCCACTGCCACATGGTGATACACAGATTACTAGAAATGGGTTAAATTATTATGTAAGAGCTAGCCAATAAGAAGCTAGAGGTAATGGGCCAAACAGTGAATTAATTAATACAGTTTCTGTGTGCTTATTTTGGGTCTGAGCTGCTGAGTGGCCGGAAATACCAAGTGGCCTTCCTCCAACAATTGTTTATGTTTTTTGGGAGTCTAAAGTGTAATTTTCATTTAATGGTCATCATCTGAAAATAATTATATTTTTATTCATTCTAGAAGCTTATGTGTTAAACACAAAATAAAATAATACAATGCATACATATAAAGGCAATATTCAAGCTACCAAGATTTAAGAACTTTCTTTCCCTAGGTCAAATGTAAAATTTTGAGATGCTTGTATAAATTCTTTTAACATTGTCACTTTATATGTACAAGAAATAAATCAAATTAATTAAATGTAAATAAAACAAAAGTTCTATAATCTGCATAATAATTTACAAATGTACTATCCAATAGAATCCTTTTATAAATGTGTAAAAATTGATTAGAACTTCATTATCATCAATCACAATGTAACAGTCTTGGTAATTATAAAACTTACCTCCTTTCAGCTAGTTATGCTTATATATCTATATGTTTGTCTTAGTATCAAAACTAATATTGCATCATTCAGTTTCACAGATTTAAATTCTGTTGTCACTTTCCTCTATAAACTTTGATATAGGCACAATATTGAAAAAATATTCCCTTGACAATAATAGGGTTAGTAAACTTTAAATGCTTGCTATTAAATAAGTTATTGATAAACATTATTTTGATTAATCTTCTGTTTTATCCAGACTTCCAAGTCTGTGTAATCATGGCTGTATTTTGAAATTGTGAGAGAGATATATTTACAAAGAACATTTTTTGCTCTTTTATAGCATAACCTTAATTTTCTGGTATCTAGACAAAAACATCTTCAGCATTTGAGGGAGAAAATGACAGGGTAATCTTTTAGATGACAGGGGTCAATTCGTCCCACCCACATGGCTTCTCTGTAACTCCAGGTCTACAGATTCCAATGTTCTCTACTGGTGTTTGTGGGCAGCAGGCACAAACGTTCTGCATGCATACATTCAGACAAGAATTATGTACATGTAAAATAAAATAAATTTTAAAAATAATCTTTAAATTAGATAACTCTATAGCTTCAGAGTCTGTTTTATTTCATGAGAGTCATCTTCTACTTCCTCATGGCAGCTCTACTCCACGACACACAATGCTTTATCAAAATTTGACTCTCAAAGTTGTAAGAACTAATTGTTGCAAGTATGAGATTTAACGTTTCTCTAATTATCCTCTTTCTCTGACATTTCTTTACTTCTTTATCTCCAAACAACAGACAAAACATCCCACTTACTGGGAGTAGATAGAACCTTACTGACCAAAGTTCTCATAGCTATAAAATTGTTTTATTTTATATTAACTTTGAATCTTTTTTTTTAACTTTCTTCTTCCTAAGATAGTATGTCTTTATACTTAGATATTTGATTTAGAATTGCTTTCTATTTTTAAATGAACTCTTAGCCAGTTTTTTTCCTTAGCAAGCTGCTAGCAACTCAAGATAGAAATTGGGTTGGCAAGTTATTTTGAGGTTCTTCCAACTTCGTTTAAGAGCAAAAAAACTGTAGACATGAAATAATTTGAATACTAAGCAAATATCTAATTAAGTTATTATCATAGCAGAAATAATAACTTGTTTACATTAAAAATAAGTCCTATCTTAAAGCTAATTAGGGTTAGACAAAAAGATAAATCTATTTTTCCAGTGAAAATTAGGACAAGATTATATATGTTATATTTAAACTCCCAAATAATGTAAAAAGGCATAAGTTCTTCAGAAGTCAGCTAAAAAAAATCTTACTGAGGGAACAGATTGTCATTTAATCTTCTAACACCAAAAGAGTTGGTACTGGCTAGCAAAAGAAGTGTGAAAATTATTTATTTTAATGTTCACTCCTTTAACAAATTGACAAATGTCAAAAATTTAGAGTAAGCACTAAAGAGGGGTTTTTGCCATGTTGTATATAATACAGAGTGTCCAAAGAAGGGGGAAAGTCAAAACAGATATAATTATGAATATATATTTAATGGATATAAAGTTATTTATATTATGTATATGACATGTATATTTGCATGTAGAAATATTGTTATATAAATACATGTTCATATGTACATATATGTATATTATGTGTAGCCATAAACACCTCATTAATTATGAACAATTAAACTAATAACTACTGCATTTTAAATTATTTAATTTTTATTTTGGGATTGGGGTTTTAAGACAGGGTTTCTCTTTTTAGCTCTGGCTGTTCTAGAAGTCATTCTTCTACTCTATTAACCTTAATTTTCTTCCTTTCAGGTACTGAACACAAACCTAAGCTTTGACATGCTTCCTATGATGTTTTGGGCTTCCTCAGTGCCTTCTAAACCCGTTCCTGTTTTTGCTGTGCTGCTATGAGACTGTTTTCTGGTCGCTTGTTGACTTCTTGCCTAACTCAAAATGCATAGTATCTCTCTTGTTCTCATCTGACTCCTCTTTGAAGCTGTGTAAATTTGAAGATTGTTGTACCTGATGGCTTTCTTTTAAAGCCTAATAAACGGTTCTACACCATTTTTCCGAGTTCACTTTAAAGTTATTTTATTGATAAGAATAAGAACTTTATGTAGTATCTGTTGTTTAACCAGTAAAAAAATAACATTACACGTGGGGCTGTCCAAAGTTTCTGGTAACACAAAGAGTAGAAAATATGCTATGTGGAATAAGACACCAATGTGACAAAACAAAAATCAAAGTACAATAAACACTCTAAGTGGAAATCAAGACCAAAACTGAAGAAAGAATTCTAATTTAAAAAAAGAAAAAAATTTCACTCTTACTACACTTAACAATGAATCAGAATAAACAGGTTCTCAGCACACTTTTCAATCTGTGACTTTAAATTCTGTAGCTGACAGATGGTTGAAGCAGACTCTAGACAACCATTCAGGTCTTACCACTATAACAGAGTGATGTTATCTGGGCTTAATAAGAAAACTATATCCTTACCTTTTACATACCCAGCCTCAATGTTTATTATGTTTTCTCCCGAGATGTGTTCCAAGGAAAATTTTTCCAAACATGGCATGTGTTTGGGATATTCAGCAAATGGGACTGTGTCCAAACAGCCAAAGCTGTTACTGCTTCTGTGGTCATAGAGAAAGGCAGAGGACTGGTGCCAGGAAAGCTCAACAGTTCTCAGGACAGGAAAAACAAACACTGAAAGAAAACTAGGTCTTGCCAGAACAGATGACCAAAAAAATTATTAAAACATCTGATAACGTATTGCTATGTCCAGATGGCATCCATCTCTGTCTTCTCAAGAAAAATAGCAATGAATAGACAAAATTACCATTTCCAGATATGACTAAAACTTTTATGAAGCCAGATGGTGGTGGCTCATACCTTTAATCTCAGTGCTAGGGAGTCACACACCTTTAATCTCAGCACTAGAGGGGAATAAAAAATGGGAGGAGATAGAGGCTCAGACTCTATCTGCAGTCGCCCAGTCTCAGTAGATGTAAAGGATTTTTCTAGTGGCTTGGCTGTTTGGCTTTTCTTATCTTCAGCTTGAACCCCAATATCTCCCTCTGGATTTTTATTATTCATACCACAGTTTGCTGACAGAAAATAAGAGCATCATATATGCCTTTATTTTACAAGTACTTGTGAAAGTCTCCATGTGATATTTCAATTTGGTTATGTATTATATATATTTGATTACATTTACAGACAAGCAGAAGACAAAAATGGGGTCTTTTGGTGCTGGAGTTACAGGTTGTCACCTGATTCCACTGTTTGAAAATGAACTGAAGCTCATTGAAAGAGCCATGGAACCACCTCTTTATTCATTTCTATAGTTTCAACAACTAACTTTTCTCCCTTGTTTAGTGTTATTTTTTCTGGAATATACCAGAACTAGATGTATAATTGGGTACAAACACTTGTAACTTCTATATTTCTCTTGAACTAAGCATGAGATGATATTGAAGACATTAATAGAACGTCATCTCCAACTTAACAGTTTGTAACCAATTGATGCTAGTACCTAACCATTTCTCTTTTGAGACTTACAATTGCAATAGGTGCAGTGACAGTGTTGTAAAGCAGGGTAGCACCCATGCAAGATCCAATGAGCTCCTTATGCTTTATAACAGTTGTTTTCATATTTTTAACATTGTAAACTTGTATGTATAATTCAGGTACCAATAAATTCCATCAGGTTATTTATCATATTGCTATTGGTATCACCAAGCAAATTTGTTCTATGAGAAAAACAAATTGTGTAGAATGACAAATAAAAAAAGGAAGTAATAAATCTTATTTGGAAAGATGGCATATTCGCTTAGGGCACAAAGACAATTTTCTCTCATTGGATCATTGGGTTTTACCATAATTAGAGCATCCTGAAGCTTTCAAACACCAGTACATCATCCATAGTAGAATTCAGGTAATAGGAATCAAGTCTGAAATTGATAAACTTAACCAGTTGACACACACTCAGGAAGAAATTGTGTTGATTGGTGGGTTGGACCCAAAACATGCATGTTGGAATCCATCCCATTGGTTGCACCCTGCATGAGAAGTCAAGTAAATGGAGAAAGAAGGCCATTAAGAATGCAGGTTTTCATTACTGTCAAGTCAAAAAAGGATGTTTAGCATTCACCAATGAATACCAAAGTGGTAGAAAGGAACTATCAATATCCCAGAGGAAAAACTTGCAGTTGTTCCTCTAGAAACATACGAGATAATACAGAAAACAGGAAGAAAGCCTGTTTAGGAGTATGAAGAGAACTTGGGAAATAGAGACAAAGAGACTCAAGTTCAACACTATTAGCCTTTCATATTGTATAGTTTTTTGCTATATGAGAAGTCCTTCTACTCCGTAGAATACTTTCAGGGCCCTTGTAAGTCTATCCTGTAGATGGTATTATTATTATTGGGTTCTATATATCACTGTGAACAGAATGTGCCAAATATCACTGGGGTTGGTAAAGTGTCTTATGTGAAAATATTGCACCAGGACATAAGGCAGAAGAAATAAGCCTACAAAAAAGAGAAAGAAACAACAACAAAATGGTTTTGCTTATATATAAGGATATCAACATACAAGAAAAGTGATATAATAAAGGAAATATAAATAGTGAGAAAACACAGAGAGCATAATAAAATTCTAGAGGATAGGTTACTGTTTGTTTTGTACCATAAAATTAACAAATATAGACCTACAAAGATACTATACTGTCCTAAAATAGGAAGGAAGAAAAGAAATCTACTGACTCTAAGTGTTTATTTTAGATTGAGTAAGTCAGATTGATTACGACTTGAGCAATAAGTGAAACATGATTGATTACGACTTGAGCAATAAGTGAAACATTGGATGGACCATAACCTATTTACGAGTTTATAATCATTTTGATTCCAAATAAAATGGTATTTTTGAAAGTTAGTGAAAGTCTTTTTTAACAATGCTCAAATAGGCAATCTATGTGTTATTTCTCTTGCACAGTCTGTATTTCAAAAGAAGTAACACACCAAAGGGCTCTGGAAGGCAGTTATCTCTTCTGATTTAGAAACAAGATTTACAGGTTTTCTGAGGTGTATTCTAAAGTGATTCTTAGATGAACAACTTGTTGCAACCCATGCCATTCTGAGTTCTTGAACAGAATATAGCAATTTATATTTTTTTTTTGTTTGCCTCTTCTTTTACTGACAGGGATGAATATAGCCAGATGTCCTATTGTGTGAGACATTACTTTTAACCATTCTTAACCCCCGGTGTGTATTCTTTTCATTGCAACCAGGGAGCAGTAAAAAATGGGATTTTTCATGCATTTATCTATTTGCGTGCCCAGTGGTAGAACCAATTACAGCATCCTAATAGAATGAAATGTTACTGCCTCAGGCACAGGTCAAATATTTGATAGATTACTGCTACTCATTCAGTGTCTATTGCATGATTACTTATAACATACTCGTTTTTTTAAAAATCTTTGAACCTTCCTTTGTCTTTGACTTATTTCACTCAATTTTCAAGTGCAAGGATTAGATTTCCTGGACCTCTTACACAATCTGAATTCTGGCACACGACTATCTCATTCCAGAATTTACAATTGCTTACAGTCACTAATTTTACCACCCACAACTGAAACAGTAAATCTCAGAACACAATTTACCTGGATGTTTACCCAATCACTTGGAACTTACAGAATGTTTGACCTCTCTATGATCCTCTTCCAGTAGAACTGAGGTGGGTTCTCAGAATTTTAATGACCACAAAACTTAAGGTAGGATTGATATGATTGCCCAAGGGTTTCACTTTTGAGATTCATGATCTGACAAATGAGAAATTCAATTTGAAAATATAATTGAGGAAAGAATGCTAGAAGTCATTATATTTAATCATGTGACAAAAGATGATATAAAGGGAACAAATCTACCTGATGTGGGATTTGCCTCTGTATGCTCTGATTATCACTAATGAATAAAGAAACTGCTTTGGACTTATAGCAGGGAAAAACTTACTTAGACAGGGAAGATGAAGCTGAATGCTGGATTAATAGTAATGAGTTAAATTAATATGTATGAGTTAGCCAATAAGAAGCTAGAGCTAATGACCTAAGCAGTGATTTAATTAATGCAGTTAATTAAAACCTGAAAAAATTTAGAAAAGAATCCTCTACACAAAAGAACAAACTTAAGCATGATTTGGTAGTGGCATTTTCTTGGGTGGTTTCTGTTTGCTAGAAACAAACAGAGTCATGGCTCCTTTAAGAGAAGTGTTCCTGATTCAGGGGTAGCAGAAAAAAAAATGGTTTTGAAATACCTGCTTTCTGGGTAATGCTGGCAGTGTGACCTCTGGCTCCTTCAGGAAGCCAAGCACTTGAATGTGTTTTGTGAACAAAGTGCTATGGCTTGCTTGGTGACAACATGGACTAGCTGTGTGCCTAGAGATGGGAATGTGGGCATGGCTTTTGGTAGCCAGCAGCTCAACAATGCTGGATTATGTGGAGTAAGCAAAATGTACCATATATAGCCTACCAATAGCACAGCTTAAGTTTGTATGAAGTGCTTAGCATTTTAAGAAGTGCTCCTAGACAGTAAAGAATTACAGATACATAATAGAACATATTCAGACATGAAAGACCTCTAAAGGGGTCAAAGTGTGAGATAAATGTATGTAGGCTTGGGAGAGAGAATAAATATGGAGTGATAAAAGGAAATAAATGGCTTATAAAAAACAAAGTCTTTAAAGAGACAGTAAAGCCAGTCATAGGTTAATGGAGTAAAAACAATAAAATAAATATTAAAAAGTAATAGATTTAAAACAAATAAGCCATGTAAAGATGAGATACACAGAGAGTCTGTATTATATATATTATTGTGTTTTCTTTGAATTTTTTGACCGTAAAGGAGCTAAGTAGAGGACATTTCATTGTATGGGCTGCTAAGCTAAACCAAGATATTTATCTTAAAGGTAACTTGATTTCAAAATATGGATCTAAGTATATGTTGCTTTGAAAAAGAGGTTCTTTTTTGTTTCCATAGAAGATAAGAACCTGTGGAATCCTTCC